CCACCACAAAGAGAGCTGCTATAAATAGTTTAGAACATATAAGTTCTTTTCCTTTTTCCTAGATCACCTTGGGAAATAAACCTAATGTGGTATCGCTAAGTCAAAGGGTATACACAGTTTTATATCTCTTTGGGCATCATTCCAAATTGCTCTCCAAAATGGCTGGATCAGTTCACAGCTCCACCAACTGTGTATCAGTGTCCCAATTTTTCCACATCCCCTCCAACATTTGTTATTTTCTCCTTCTATCATTTTAGCCAGTCTGATGGGTGTGAGTCAGTTCCTCAAAGTTGTTGTCATTTGCATTTCTCTAATCAATAATGATAGAGAGTATTTTTTCATATGTCTATACATCGCTTTGATTTCTTCCTCCAAAAACTGCCCCTTCATATCCTTTGACCATTTATCAACTATGAAATGACTCACATTCTTATAAATTTGACATAATTCTCTATGTAATTGAGATATGAGGTCTTGTTCTGGGAAACTGTTTATAAATCTTTCTCCAGTTCTTCTGCTTTCCTTCTAATCTTGGCTACATTGGTTTTATTTGTACAAAATCTTTTTAATTTAACATAATCAAAATTATCCATTTTATATCTCACAATGCTCTCTGTCTCTTGTATATTTATAAATTCTTCTCCTATCCAAAAATCTGATAGGTAATGTGTACCATGTTCTTTTAATTTACTTACAATATCTCCCTTTATGTCCAGGACTCAGTCATGAATCCATTTTGACCTTATCTTGGCAAATGGTGTAATACATTAGTCTATACCCAATGTCTGCAAGACTGTTTTCCAGTCTTCCCAACAATTTTTGTCAAACAGTAAATTCCTATCCTAAAAGCTTAAATCTTTACATTTATCAAACACAAGGTTACCAAAATCATTTACTACTGTGTATTGCATATCTACTCTATTCACCATCACTATATGATGTGGTGCTAGGAATGCTAACAAGAAGATAAGAAAAAGAAACTGAGAGAATGAGCATAAGTAAAGAGGAAATAGAATTATCACTTTTTGCAGATGATATAACAGTTTACTTAGAGAACCCAAAGAGTCTGCTAAAAATTTAAATGAAACAATAACTTCAGCAAAGTTGCAGGACTTTAAATAAACCCACATAAATCATCAGCATTTCTGAATATTATAAACAAAACCCAATAGGAAAACATCAAAAATGACATTTCATTTCAAATAACCACAAAATCACAAAATACATGGGAGTCTACCTGCCAAGACACACACAAGAACTATATGAATGCAACTACAAAAATACTTGACATAAATGAACACCTAAATAATCAGAAAAATGTTAATTGTGTATGGGTAGGCTGAGTCAATATAATAATGATAGTATTGTCTAAATTAATTTGCTTATTGAGTGCCATACCAATAAAAATATCAAAACATTACTTTATAGCATAAGAAAAAAATAATAACAAAATACAACTAGAGGAAGAAATGGTCAAGAATATCAAGGGGTTAAGGGGGGAAAAGGCAGGGGACAGAACGGCACCTAGCAGTGTGAGATCTTAAAATACACACTTGGTACTAGCTAAGAAATAGAGAGGAACAGATCAGGCATACAATATACAGAAGCAAATGAGGCCACTAGTCTAGTTTTTGGCAAACCCAAAGACCCCAACTACTGGGGTAAGGCTCATTATTACACAAAAAAAAAAATTGCTGGGAAAATTGGAAAATGATCTGGCAGAAATGAAGTGTAAACCAACAACTCCTACCATCTACTAAGACAAGCTCCAAACGGGTGTGTGTCTTAGACATAAAAGATGGCATCATAAACAAATCAGAGAAGCTGGAAAGAAATTATCTCTCTAATCTATCAACAGAGGAAGAGTTCATGACCTAAAGATAGGGAGGATCACAGATGATAAAATGAAAAATTTTGATTATATAAAATTGAAAAAGGTTTTGCACAAATGGAACTAATGCAGCTAAAATCAGAATGGAAGTAACTGGGAAAAAAATTATTTGTAGCAAATTTCTCCAATAAAGATCTTATTTCAAAGACCTAAGGAACATATTCAAATCCACAACAATGAGAACATTCCCCAAGAGATAAACGGCCAAAGAATATGAATAGACAATTTTCAGAAGAATTTCAATGTAAAAGAGTTTCACAAATCACTAGTAGCTAGAGAAACGCCCATTAAAACAACCCTGATGCCCATATCCAACAGATGGGCCAACTGACAAAAAGGGAAAATGGCCAATGCTGGAGAGTCTGTGGGAAAACAAGCACATTAGTGTATGGTTGGTGGAGCTGTGACATGGTCCAGCCAATATGGAAAGCAATGTGAAACTCGCTAGGCCCCAAAAGGTCACTTTGCATGGCTTTTGAGTTCGCTTCCTAGTGTACCGAGTTTGGCTAACAGGGCCTGAGAACTCTAGGGCTTAAGATCCTGAAGGAAGAGACATTTCATTTTTGCCTCGTCTTCCTAGAGCCAATGGGAGCCAAATGGAATTGTATTTTGGAAGACACACGTGCCTCACGCTCACCATTGCCCTGACACAGCTGGTTACCTTGTGTCTCTGATCTGAGAGAGATGCTGGCAGCATTGCTCATCCTTCAAGGCCCAGCCCCGGCCCTGGCCCCGGCCCCAACTGGAAGCATTCCTTCCCTCAGCCCACCAGGCCTCTCGGATAGCTCATTTCTTCCCTCCCATAAGGGTCCCGACACATCTTCAGAGGAGGGAAACATTCAGAGGCATGGGAACCTGCCTGCAGTCACCCAGCTGGGCAGGGTCCAGTACACTCCAGGTCAGGGAATTGGTGCCAGGGGCAGCCCCTGAGGAGAGGGACGGAGCCCCCTCCCATCCCCCACAACCCCTGAGGGGGAGGAGGCTTGTCCAGAGTCACAGAGGGCAGGGCCAAGGTTCAGAGGAAGTTTTCTGGTCCCAAACCTGACCTCTTCTCATGACACACTTAGCCCAGTGCATCCCGAATCCTCAATCTTTGAGTTCTATAGAGACTAGAAACTCCCTGAGGGCAGAATCTCAACAGTTCTCTCTCACAGCACATACCCCAGGATTTGGCACGAAGCTAGTGCTTGATAAACACATGTCACATGGAACTGGACTACACATCTCTAACGATTCAGCAACACCTCTGGGGCAGATTTGGGTGGCAAAGGCCGGGGCCTCAGAATGCAGACTGCACCCCAACCACGCAAGCCTTTGCATGGGCCGCTCCATCACTCACACTCCCAAGCAATCCTGAGCCCTCAGGGGCTCATCACCGTCTCTGTGGCCTGGGCCCTTCTCAGAAACACCATTCAATGCACAGGACTGCACCAAAGTCACTTCCCCATCTACATTTTTTAAAGCAAGTTCACGGACACCAGGGATGCTGTAGGCCCAGGGTCCCAGTCTCTGCTGTGCCACTCGCTACCTGCCTGCCCTAAGCTGGGTCTAGGCCCAGTGAGCCCCCCCCTCCCCGACAGCTCACCGAGCAGGTGGCAGTAAGTCATTGGCTCTCAGGGCCCCCGGGTCATGAGGCAGGGATGGGGCCCAGCAGCCCAGGCGTCTGGGTTTCATTTGCTGCCCCCTCACTACCATAATCGTTATTTAATCACGGCATTTTGTACAGCATTTCCTTTGGGGATGCTTTATTTAGTAATCCATCATTAAACGAAAAAATTGCTGCTCCCAACCACAGCTCTCGGGCTCCTGCCAGGGACGCCAGGGGAGATGACCCCACACCCCTCCCCTGGCTCCAGGACATCAGGCAGAAACAGCCCTCTCAGTGCCCCTCACTGAGCCCCTGAGGCTCCAGAGTGGCCTAAAACAGAAGGGCTTAAGTCACTGCCCAGACATCCTTAAGCACGGATGCCTGTCTTCTCAAAAAGGAGCAGGACTATGCCCTGTGTCCACTGCTGTGGCATCCCCAAGGATGGCCGGGGCCAGCACAGGAAGATCCATGAACAGGGTGAGAGAAGCGGGATGCAGGGCCCAGCAAAGCTGAGGGGGTTCCACAGAGCTCAAGTCACTGACAGAGGTGAGATCCCCTCACCCCCAGCAAGCACAGGGGCAGGGACAAGGACCACTCTGGGTCACGCCCAAGATGAAAAGGCTTTGGGCACACAAACAACCTCGATGCTGATGAAAACAAGAGAGAAGCTTGTGGGGCAGGAAAACCTCTGCATCCAGAGCCCTGAGAAAGAGCCGAGAGGCAGGCGAGGGAGGGATCCCCCGAGACCCCCAGGGTCAGGGAGACGTCAAGGAAACACATGGATGCACAGAGAAATCCCCCCCAAAGCCCCGCTCAGGTTTCATGTCCACAAAGCAGGGGACAGCGACGTACAACCGTGCCTCCGGATGTCAGACCGCAGAAGTGCCCAGGTGCCCCCAGTGCCAGGGCATGGGTGCTGCCAGGAGGAGCATGGTCAACCAAGGGATGGGCAGGGATGGCGCCCAGACCTCTCCGCCCTCCTCCAAGGCCAGCCCTGGTGCCCACAGCTGCTTGGACCAGCTCAAGGCGCCATCTTGGCTCTCCTGTGGAGCAGCTATGAGGGAGGGCGTGATTTCAGGTTGGGGAAAGGGGAAAGGGACAGAATTTTTAAACATAGAGAGACCAACACAACAGCATACAACACAGAGGAGTGCTCCCACAACCACTCTGGTGTATGCCTCAGGGAGCCCAGGAGCCCGGGCCCACCTGCGGCCTGCCAGCATGGCACCGGGGGCAGAGGCATGTTGCCAGTGGGCCCCCCAGAGGGGAATCTCTCGTTTCCACCATAAGAGCACATCAGGATGGCGTACTGAGGCATGGAGGCCACAGAACCCCCCACCCCACCCCACACGGTAAGGGCGTTGTCCTGCCAGCCCAACAGTGCCATCTGAACTCAGTACATGGTGCTCACGCTCAGAGAGCTGCTGACAGCAGCCACAAAGCTTCCTCTCCTCATCAAAGAGAGAGGGGCCGGAGGGGCGAGGAGTGACGAGGCGCTACAAGACGAGCACTGCGCCTTACCTGTCAAGTGGGATTCCTGCTCAACATCCAGCTTCTGAAATAAATCAATCAGCTCCACCGTGCTGCTGATTAAATTCAAGTTCCTGTCGAAAGTTTTCAAAGAAAAAGGCAAAATTCAGAACTTGCCTAATTAAGATGTCATTCCCCCCTCCACAACCCCTTTACGGCTGCTCTTCCAGTGACTGGGGAGACAGGGGGTCACTCCTCCTGCTCCTGGGGACCATCCTCAGACGCTGACTCAGTAGGGAGCCCTGGACAAGTCATTTAGCCGGGCAGTGCCTCAGTTTCCCCACCTGTTCAAGGGTGCTGCACACCCTCAAAATGCACATCATCATCACCAAAGTCTGCCTTAAGGTCCAGCTCCAGTTTGCTGGGCACCCAGGCTGGCGAAGCCTACGGAGGGCCCCCTCTTGGGAGAGAGGCTTTAGACATGTCAAATAAAACACATAGGATTACCAAGAAAACCAATTCTACTAAAACAGTTATAGTATCAAAGTAAAATAAAATAAAATTCTTGGACCCCGAGCTAAGAACTCTCATCTCCTTGTGGCCCAGAGTGTGCCTGCATTCTCTAAAGCTCTACCAAGAGAGCCTCAGCTCTCACAGGCCCTGGCAGGCTGGCCTGGTCACGG